CTAAATTTTTGTATCAAAATATTTCCAGTTTCACGAAACAAATGTCAGATGCTTTCGGTACAATGTTATTCGTATATTATACTTTTCATCAAGTAAGTGGGTGCTTGCTGCTTTTGGAATGCTCACAAATGGTTAGTATCAAAGTTTTGTAAAAGTTATGATTATAATAATTTACACATTTCACACACGGCCGTAGGGTCGCAGACTAGGAACTAAGTAATACACACAAATTTATAGGTTCGGAACTAAAGAATATTTACAAAATTACAAACTCAGCGTAGAATAATTTTATGATTTTTCCTTTATAAAAATAATCTAAATTTAGTAATCACAATTGACATAAAATTGTAACTAATAATATAGTGTAATATAGTGTAAATATTAATATAAATAATGAATATATCAATGCGGGGAAAAAATCTTAGCACTTCATTTGAAACAAAAATTTGTGCACGAAAGCATTTCATATTTGGTATGATTAATGTTTATAATATGTAGAAGAAGTACCTACAGCATACAAAAATTATTAAACCAAATACCAAATAACCGCACATAACCAAATAACCGCACATGGGACAACGCTTTGTGTGATCCACAAATTGTAGTTCTGTGGCTGTCTGTTCTTCGTGCCCGTTTAATAAATGGCTGTATAGTCGCCCGCGACACAGAATACGTTCCAAGTGCAGGAGTTGCTTTAATAATAATAAAAAACTGTAAGAATAAGCAATCGATAAAATAAATGACGGTAAAAGATTATTTCTTTGTGCTGACATTTTATTTTATTTTAATTGTTTTCTTTTGATTAATATTCTGATTTTTAGACTGCTGAAGCTTTGGTTCGTTATCTGCCAATGACATTAATATTGTTTCAACAACTAATGCAGCTTTCTATCGTATTCGAATTGATTGGAAGTACGGTATGATTTAATTGATTATGATTTAATTTAAGTTAGTCATTTCAACTACTCGGAAAAATAAATCGATAGCCCTTGAAGCCCTTGGCCCTGATTATTATTATTATTATTCAGATCAAATAAATTATCTGAGGGCAAAATACAGTGTTAAATTTCCTGTCTGTGATAGTTATTAATATAAATATAAATAATATATTTTCTTCAACAGCCTTTAATAGTCCACTGATGGTCATAGGCCTCTCATTAGAGAGGAGGTTTGGCCTACTATAAAATGCTGGCCAGACGGGTTTTTATAGGGTTTGCCTCAAGTTTTCCTTCTCTTTGCAGTGTTGTTGTCCCGCAAAGTTTACTCCCCTACTCGGTCCCCTAGTCCCCTTACGATATCCACGGGATGAATAGGAGTGGTGACACTTCATATTCTTAATCTGTCACCACGCCGATGACTCACTTATTGATTAAATATACTTGGCTCATTCAATCTTGTAATAGATCTTGACGTATGAGAAAGCCCTGGAGGCTAAGGCATTTATCTGAGTTACTTATTATTACAAGGTGTTAACACGCTCTTGCAGATTTTCAAACTAAAAATGAAAATGATCTGTATTTCTTTTTTGTTTATTATATGCTACGACATGTACAATCATGAAACGACTAGACCAAACCAAAATCCTGAGTAAACCAGATCTAAAATCGTATTTTTACATTTTACCCTTTGAACTCGCAATCCATTTTTCTCCCTAGAAAATCACAAAGTAAAAGATTAAAAACATTAAATGTCATTCGAAAAGCAAAAATAAACAAGTGCTAGAAAAGATTGCAGTTTCTTCATTTAAAATTTATGATTTTACTATTTGCGCTTTTAACTTTTAAGTTTTTTTTCGTGCAATAAGCTTGTATAATTTAATATTTACAGAGTGAAAAACTCAAGCATGCAGTGTACGGCTTACCATGGGAATCTATTGACGTGAGAAATAGAAAAACAGTTTTCTTGTTCTTGATGAACGTACAAGAACCTATACATGTAAAGGCTTTAGGTATCGCAAACGTTGGAGTCACCACTATGGCTGCGGTAATGTTCATTCTATTTTCAGATTTTTTAATAACAGCTGTTCCCGGATCCCGCCTATTTTAGGTGTAGAGTGGCCACACCGTGTGGTTTTAGTCGGTTCGGTTCCGACACCCGACCCGCCGCAAACCCCGGTGACGGTTCAATGGGGTTTCCACACGTAAAAAAAGAAAACAAGGTTCATTCGTGCTGGCAAGGGTATTAAGATATTTTTTTTAGATGCTTGCAACTACAACTGAGTCATTACACTGTGTACTTCCTGTGATGGTATGTTATGTAACATAAATACCCTTACTACATGCTATGTTAATGATTTATTTATTTTTAATATTATTTATTTTATTTATTAAATATTGTTTGTTATTAAATCTATGATTACAATTTTTTACAGATATTAAAAACATCGCTATCATATTTTACATTTCTCCGTAGTAAGTAAATTATTATTTACAATTCTTTGATGTCAAGAAAATATATTTAAATGTAGTGATATCTACGAAAGTGCACTTTGTTCTTTAGAATATATAGAAATATATACAGAAAGGATTAATAATAAAACAACATTAATAAACATGCAAATTTTATTCCTATTTGAGAATCTTAAATCACCTCTACACTAAGCATTTATTTATCCTCCTGTTTTAATAAATACATTTATATCATGCTTCAATTATTATTACATATTAACATAACACTATGCTAAGTTTAAAAAAAGAATATAAAAATTACTATAAACCTAAAAGAAAAGAAATATTGCATCTAATTTATGGCATTATTATTATCTGTACCTAACTTTATGTATTCCTATAAATAACAGATAATTTAATTTAGTTCTAAATTTAAACTTTACTTTGTTTCTAAGTATGTAATCAAAAGTAAAATTAAAACTTAATTTACTTTGTAAGTTGATCTTGCCTTAAATTGTTATATTTTTTTATGTGGAAAAGTAAAATGTTAGATTGGGTACAGAACAAAACTTTCAGGATGAACTAAATAGATGGACAACAAACGGCTTTAAGTTTTGTACATAAAAAGCAATTAGGTAGCTTGAAATAAGAAAATTGATTATTTATTATAGTGAAGACAACGTTTGATATCTTAAAAAAGTTTGACTGCAGTAATTATAAAACAAAAAAAAAAAACTATCAGTAACAAGTTACGCGCCATACAGTAGTAATATAGATTTCTTTAATTTTAATTGTACCTACTTTTACTTGCAATTATGTCAGAATAATCACGATATCCCATCTTCATCTTATCTCATCATGTTTAAGCATTTAGAGAATAAAATAAACTGACATTTATGCCTGAATTAACCCTGAAATCATTGCACTTCTTTCGTGGGCTGTCGTACAGTAAAGTGCCATCAAATAAAAATTAGAAAATAAAATAACCCATACGACTAAGGCATTTCTGGTTACTTTTGTAAATAATTTAAAAATAATGTAGAAGTGATTTTTAGTTAAGATATACATTTTACCTTACTTAAAACTGAACCTTTCGCGATCATTTATTGTTGTCAGTACTGGCGATATAATTAATATATTTTTAGATATATACTGAACGCTAGTATAATAAATGTGGGTCCTGAGATTGGGAACTAAAGTTATGAAACTTAAATTGCGCTACCCTTGTGCCCTTGACATAGGTATATTTAAAAATATGTAATTTAATAAGCTAGTAGCTCAATTATCTAGTTAACTAGCCAAATATGGCTAAAGTTATTTTCCAAACAAATGATTAAAGATATCAGGAAAGTATCAATGTTTTGTAACTTCAATTATGTTACGAAGAATCTTTGTTAACAACTCCAGAAGTTTCTTTTAAAGATTAGAAGCGAAAATTATATTATACGTCCATGTTTATAACATATGCACACGTAAAATTTTATATATAATTGTCGCTAATTCTAGGTATACGTAATATATATATACCTAGAACAGAGAATTTCTAGCAGGAACTAAAATAGATAAATCTCACTTATAAAAGCAAAATAATGTATAGCTTTTGTATATTTGCATTTGCAAAAGATTAACCTTTTTGGAAACTTTATGAACTATTTATAGTCACAGTTAGTTTGCTAATGGTTATGAAAAGCTTTCTTTAAGCATTTACATAAAAATATCGTTTGAGTTACCTATAAATTCTTTCATTTTGTTTCAAAATACTACAGTATGAATATAAGAGATTTTCGTAACCTCTATTTATTATAATAACTGAAGGTAGTTGAGTTTTAAGCATATACGTACATTAGTGAAAAGTTGAAATTTATTAGCTCTATGAAGTGCCTAGAGGATTAAGTAGTGAAGTTTTAAAAATTCGTAGGTACATTCGAAAAATGGTTGACCTTATTCTATTATTTACAAAATACTCATAAAATCAACCCGTGAATGTTAGTAAGTATTTTGTTTTTTTTTCTTACAATAATCTAATGTTATATTAATATTAAAATGCCCGATGGAAATGGAGCGATGCATTCGATAACAAAATACAGTTAGAATACAATTTAGTCGCTATTGCTACAGTAATAACTAGACTACAATAAGTACAGTATAAACCAAAATGTAAAAAACATTTCGTTAGCTATCGCTAGATGTCGCTGTAAAAGATATTTTGATTCATCCAATATTTTTAAGTTGATTATATTTCTTTAAACTTTGCTAATTAAGTGAAGTGGGTTGAAAAGAAAATAGTTAAAATTAAATGAAAATGACAACATTCATATTGATATCAAAACTTCAAAAAATGTTTAATTATTGATAAAAAATCATAATCTATGCTAATTTAATGCATTTGAGTTCATTATATTTAAGCTCTTAGTCATAAGTAATTTCAACGCGCTAATATTGATGACTAACAATAATTCTTTCATTCGATCATACTTAAAAGGTAAACATTTCGTACTCTTATTACGCAATTGCATAACGAAAAAGTAGAACAAACTAAATTCATCGATCTAATAATTAATTGTTGAGCCATTAAATTAAGGTCTACCGGTATTCTTAAGTTTAAGACAACACTCAACAGCAGGCTTCGCACTTAACCAAGCCAACCTCATCACAGTTCATGCACTTAAGAGCAACAAACTCTGCTGTAAAGTGGTTCCTGTGCAGGCTTTTCTTAGATCCATTGCAGATTCTGCACGGCAGAAGACGGAACCCGCCACACATTTGACAGGTGTTGCACGCATCTGGACTCTGAAAAACGGAGAAAAAATGTTTAGAAAATAAATAATTGCGTTTGAATTTTGCCTAATCATCGATACCCACAAATACTTTCAAACACTAATAGTGTTATTTTCTCCTTACTAACCCTAACTTCTAACCTAATCGAGAAATCTATTCACACAGACTAGTTGAAATATTCTTATGTTAGAATGACACATAGTTATGCATAGGCGTATCAGCCGGTTTTCAAACTGTAGTGACAAACAACCCAATAACAATCTAATCAGCACCAAATTATCTTAGAACCAAAAAGCTGTCACGTTTTATTCTGTACTAGATGTACCCTGCTACACTTCGCCGTGACACATTGTAGTTGCATAAAGTAGATAAAAACCATCTTTAAAACGTGTTATATATTGTTGAAATTTGATTGTATATGGTGTTGAAATTTGAGCTCAATCGGTGCAGAACTTTTTAAGTTTTTGATTGGAACACAAACAACTTAACATTTTTATATATTTTATTGCTAGGTGTATACCTATATAGAGCCGGTTATAGTCTATTATGTGTCCACGTATGGTCACTGTACCCGTGTTGTGACAAGAGCTAAACGTCTGCAAGAAAAAAGTACCTACTTGACTCTGAAAACCTATTACAATTGACAGCCGTTATCTGTATTTGCAGGACCTATAAAAGCTTCTTGAGTTAATAAAGTCTGTAGAGAAATTTGCTTGGCAATAAAATGCTATATAATAGAAAAATAGATATCAAAAGTTGGAATTAAATGGTTTTCTCTGTGAATCAATTTCAATAAATTTTGTAAAAAGTTTTTAAATAAGAAAAAAATAATGTGTAGGTATGAAAGAAGGTAATAAAAGTATATATAACCAACTGCTTCACTGTTATCGTTAAGTATAGTTTCTTTCAGAACAACTGGCGCAATAACACACTGAATAACTTCGGTTGAACAAAAATTTACGAAATCCTTGAAAACAAGATAAATATTCGCAACTTTTCTACCCTAGCACCTCAACTCATAAGTAAAAATTGAATTGGTTATATTTAAGTATAGCCTATCCGGGTTGAATGCAGTCGGGGCCTGGTGACGGGCGGGAGCATCTCTCCCCGCTGCCCGCTAACCTTGTCTTTTACACCCGCATTCAACTCACGCAAGTACTATACATAAAAGGCTTACAGTCACGATATAAAGTACTTCCAGGTTAGTGCACATTTTTTTTGATGGCACAATAGAATATTACATAGTTAGTTTTGCTGGTGCACTGTTTATAGGTACCGGTAACTACGTACAGGCGGGCGATGTGCTGTTTTCAAAATTATTATTAAATGAGAAAACAAATATTTTATTCACCAAAATTTACGATTGAGTAACCTTTCTTATGTGCAATTTTAGTCAAGTTTGTAGGCTGTATAAGTATTTCACACTTCGTATTAGGTAATGTGTATAATGCTGTAATATTGTCGTAAGCAATATAGCTAAGTGCAATATTTGGTAAAGGTATCGATTTCACTTTCACGGCAATTGTTTTACGCACCTATAATTTTAAGAACAATTAAATTGTATGTCTGTAAACCGCTGATAAATAATCACTTTTGGTTATGGGACTCGCTCCCTATTATTAATCCTCCCGGAATTTCGAGATTATTTATGGATAATCCCGGAATCTGATATAGTAAACAGGTAATGAAAATTATTGAATAATTTAATTATTATTAGATTTATTGCCTATAGTTAAAAACTTATCAAATTGCACCATGAAGGTTTCGAAAACATAAAATATTTTTCCTTCTAAAATAGTTAGATGTAATCAATCAATCTTAACAATCTGTACGAGTAACAGACAAGGATTTTAAACTCCGACAAAGTCTAATTTGAATATTCTAGAAAACTAATTAAAATAATTGATTTGAATTGAATTTAAAGCCACAAATGTTCCATCATTAAATTAAAATTATTATATATATTAGATAATTAAATTTAATCGATATGGATTAAGAAAATCGTGTTTCTAGGATACTTTTAAACCCGGGCTTGATTAAAGGTAACCTCAAAACTTTCAGAGCTGAAATACGATCAGGGTCTCCTCTAATTACAAACTATTACCTAGTATTTTCTGAATACTTTTTAATGTTTTTTGCCTGCCATGCAGATATGAGTTTATAATTAGGTTTTCATAGCAATTGTTTAAATTGTGTTACTATTCGATAAGCTTGCACTGGCCGTAGTCACAAAATGACTCTAAGGTCAGCTTGTAATTACATGTAAATATATTTATAATAATAATATCCTCACACATCTTCCACACGGTCGTCTAATTTCAAACTAGTCAGAGCCTGTACTATAGTAACCAGACTGCTCATAACCATAATATTAATAATAATAAAAGCCTTTACTCACTGACCATATTACACATTTTAACTTATATACTTCTTACAAAACAATTTTCTCAAATTTAAATGGTAAAATATTCTTATTATTATTTTTTTCTTTAAAAATATCACTCCCGCATTAGGAATATATCCTGTGTTGCGGGGGACTTTACAAACATACATGAAACGGACACAAGGAACACCCAGACTCAGAACAACAATTTGTGGATCACACAAAGTGTCGTCCTATGTGGGGTTTGAACCCACACCACTCGGCGTAGTAGGATGCGGCGTGGCGACTGCTTAAACCACTACGCCATCCGTGCAGTATTATCTCTAGCAACCACTTAGTCAGGTTGTCTTTCGACATAGGCCACCCCCACTTCCTTCCACTTATCCCTATCTCGAGCTATCCTTCTCCATCCTTTCGGCAAATCATCCTCCTATCGTCGTCCTGTTTGTCTTTACCCATTTTTGGGGAACCATTCCATTAGACCATTACATACTTCGTCCATTTTTTCCTACTATCTTTCCTCATTATATGACCGGTCGAGATCCATTTAAGTTTTCTTATTTTCTGTAATACATCGGTTACCCTAGTTTCTCCCTTCTTTTTATGGTTGTCCACCGGTCTCGTAGCCTTATGTATTAATAGATTGCCAACGCAGCATGGAACGAAGCAGGCTCATAAACATGTGTACTTTAAATATGTCTTAGAACGCGAAAGTTTAAAGATTAGTACAGACATGAGTCGATGTACACACACACATGTGTCATGTGTCACAATAAAGATTTCTAAAAATAATATTTCGTTAGACAAAAGTGTTTAATTAGATAGATTTTTTTACATACATAATCATAACAATTCTTCTGGTCAGGCGCGTATATTTTTATAGATTTAATTCGTATTTGTAGACACTTATATTTCTTGCATGAGCCTATTTCGAGTAGCATCCTAACAAATAATTGACTATTTAAACAGTTGTGACATTGACGACTACAACTATTTTGTTATAAGTAAATAACTTATTTAAACGTTGCTGTTACATCATTAATTCTGAAAGCGAACTCATTTTAAAATACGTCACTTTACCACACTGGTCCTCGCTTACAAATCGTTTGGTATAAAAGTTAAGTTCGTATACAGAGTTGTTACCTAGATAGAAATAAACGTAATTTAGAAAAAAAATAACTTATTTATAACTCTTCCAAAAAAATCGAATAAGATTACAGACGTGTGGTAACTTCCAATAAGTGAAGTTTACTTGTTAAGTAAACTCACTTGGATGACTGGCTATCTTTCACTAAACAAGTTGTTTCTTTATGATAGTGATGGATTGACATTTTTGTTGATAGAGTTCCATTTAATTGCTATTTGCTTCAGCGACTGTGGAATATCCGTCCCTGAAATAGAATCGCGTGTGATGCGAATATGGTTCTGCGTTCAGTTCAAACAGAGTAAAGATGTCCATGCCAATGTTATACTAGAAGAATCCAAGGTAACACTTTACGATCAAGGTATGGTTTAAAACGTTTAAGTAGAGCCAATCATTGCGTAACAATTTAGTGGAACAAATACCGAAAGATTTTTAAAACTATAAGAGAAAAACGAGCAGATGGGTCGATCGGGTAGCATACTTATACATACATGAATAAAAGATTCTTTTTAATGGCCAAAGGCCAAAACCTCCTTTCTAAGGAGAGGCCTATGTCCAGCAGTGGACTAGTATAGGCTGTTGATGTGATGTGTGATGAAAAAGCCCCCTTTAGAGATAAACCCACTTCTCTAGCCTAGGTATAAAATGCTGCTCTTTCCGTCACTACATTTATGAACTGTGGAGCTCCGTTTGCCACATGCGGTGTACTATTACAGATGTATATTCATATAATGCTTCCCTCATATATTATTAACCATTTCAATATACAATTTTTTATCTGAAGTTGCGTAGTCGCTTCAACGAGTGAGCTTTCTTTATGGATATTGAATCCTTACGTGGTAATGTCATAAACAATACATTAAAATATAATTGTGAATATATGTTTACAATCTTCAATAGAAATAAAATAGATATCATAAAATATCCAATTAAAATGTTATAGGTTGCTAGGTAGGTATTGTTCGCAAAACTGTTTAAGTTTCTTAGTCGCCGCTATGAAAACGAAATATACACATCGCTTTAACAATGTCTTATACTGCTTGAAAATACAATTGTCTTATAGGCCAAAATACTGTGTTGTATCTGATTTAACGTAGTTAAAGCACAATCATGTTAATACACGTATACGATTCCTAAAAAAAAAACACCTTTACCCATATGCAACAATAATATTCACTGTAGTTGAAAGGATTTATATAAAAACGAAGCAGGAAATTGAAAGGTTTCGGAAAAACTCTCTCGCCAATCCATGATATCGAATTGAATATTATTCTTGCGTACAATAGATTATTTCTGTTCAATTTTTCAACTCAAAATTTTCATTTTTATCATTTACTTCAATTCGTCAATTGGACATCTAACACACAACACCGTCTAGTTTCAAACTAAGCAGAGCTTGTACTATGAAAGCTAGATTGACTGATAGAATAATAACATACTTTTTTTTTGGAAATACACACATATTATGCATTTACATAGAAAACACCCAAACTCCGAAACAAATATTTGCAGATCATACAAACATTTGGTCCGCCCTAGGAATCGAACCCGAGAATTCAGCACAGCAGTCGCATACGCTACCACTGCACCACAATATTATATTAATCTTGTAAGTGTTTAGATTTGAATCGTCCTGCGTAATACGCAACTTGAGAAATTTCATCAAACTTGTAATTGTTGAAGCTGTTTGGTAACTCTAATTACAATTATGTGCTGCAAACAATTATATTTCGTTATTTAATTCTATCTAAACAGCATAGATATGCACAGAATTATTATAGACCCGTGCGCGTCTCACAGGTTGTCGGGGTCTGAGATAACGGGCGGAGGCATCTCCTCCCGCCACCTGTGAATTGCACCTCGCCCTCCCCAACTGTACCGACATTCAGTTCGCGCGACCACTTGAATTGCACATACATATCACATACTGAATTTTTAGGTGTATGAAAAAACCCCTATACAGAAAAAAATCTACGACAATGTGACAATGTACCAAAAAAGTTATTTCGACTGTTTTTTTTTCTTTAACTAAATAAAATATTTATTTCAATGATAATCCATTAGAAACATAAGAAATATAAAAAAAGAATTGATAAATCGACATGTTTTGACAATCTATTTAAATAGTTTCTTACACCTCTTCATCATCATCATCATCATCATCATCATCGACAGCCTTTAATAGTCCACTGCTGGACATAAGCCTCTCCTTAGAAAGGAGGTTTTAGCCTACTATACCACGCTGGCCAGACGGGTTGGTATAGGGTTTGTGTCATGTTTTCCATCTCTCTGCAGTGCTGTTGTTCTGCGTAGTTTTTTCCCTTAGTCGGCTCTTATAACACCCACAGGATGAACAGTGGTGGTGACACTCTGTATTCTTAATCCGTCACCACACGGACCACACCTCTTCCTAACTCAGTATTAATCTATAAACGATTTTATCGTATCGTTTCAAGCTTGATAAATCTCTTTCATGGTTTTAGAACACAATTGTTTTACTTATTTTTGTATTTTTGCATACTATGATTAAAATTTTAAGTTGAATCAGTGTTTTGAAAACAATAAAAAGAAGTTATTATAAATGAGTAAATTGAATTCATACAGAGAAAAACTCTGGCTGAAATGTAATAAAACAAAATATCACAGACAAAAAAATTGTGTTTAAGTTTTTACTGCAGTAGTAGTTTAAAGCAGTATGTATCATTATATTGTAAAATTTATAAATTATATTTTCTCAATTCTTAATCCTATAAGTAATCAAATAGGTTGCAAAACAACAATACGAATTACCTTATAAGGTTTCAGCATTTTTCTCAGCTCGCCGCTTTCGTTCAACTTCTCAACAGTGTCAGCATCCTGAAACCAAATGAAATATTTTGATAAAATATAACGACGCTTCTATCTTATATAAGATGTTACTATACATGCTTGAATATTGTTTTAATCTTTAATACAATTTAGTACCTACAATAGCGTGACAAACAAACCTTGTTATTTGTTAAGGAAAGTTTATTTTCCTGGTAGACACCCATTTAAATAAACTTGAAAAGTAAAATTTTATTTAAATACAAAATTTGTTCTAATTATTAAACCTCAGTGGGTTATCACCCTAATAAATGATAATACACAGCGTACTTAATATGGATAAATAGGCGTAGGGAATTTTCATTGACCTTAGAATTTCATATCGGTAGTTTTGATATAAAACACAAATTAAAATTTATTCAAAACATCCCATGTATGTATGTATGAATGTTTATGTTATCTTTGTATATTGTGATTTATATTGCATGTTGTTATCCTTACTCACGTCTTTAGAGCTCCAGAAGCTAACCACTAACAGAAAAATAGCACTATACTGATAAAATTATAATCTTATCGATGTAGTTTATATCAGTATGTACTTATACAAATTATGAGAGACAGCTTAGGATCTTGTAAGATTTATTATTTATTTTAAAACAATACTTATTTTCCAACATTTTGTCAATAATCTGCGTTTTTCAAGACACTTTTTGCCTTACACAACCAATCTGTAGAACAAGTTATCATCTGCAGTATTTTCGGACTGATAAGACCTTCAAACAATCAAGAAAAGAGCGTACTCCTTCCGAAAAGGCTGGCAACGCGCTTGCCACTCCTGAGTTGCAGGCGTTCAGATGAGTTGCTACTCTGTGTATAATATTACCATTAGCAATATCACATCATTTTTGATAGGACAAGACCAAATGCCGAAATGCTTTGGGTATTCAGTATACACACACACGCTAGTCACACAACATATAAGTGAGATTAAATAAAAAGATATACCATTATTTCTTAGTTTAAAATCTCTTGTATAATAATGCAACATAATATCAGTTATACTATGAGTACTATCCGTATCTGTGCTCTCCCCAGGCACGAGGCGCACTTTTTATTTAATCCCTGGCCATAATTTATCTGACGTTTTAGTAGTTAGGAGTAAAATATTTTATTTCATTCCAATTCACACTTACTATAAACATAAATCAACTTGAACTGAATACATTGAATAGGAAGTTAATTCTAAGAGTCCAAAACTATGAAAGATAGGATTGCCCAGATAGTAAATGGAAAAAACTCAATGCACTTATAAATGGATCGGCAAACATCCTATTGTCAAGTGCTTTCAACGCCATCCGTTACCGGCTTTTCTTGTCACAGTATTTTCATGTGAATCTCCCAATATCTCAGAGTAAGGAATATTTATGTGACGACACTTGAGCAGAAACCGATATTGAACTACTTTATTTTTTACTAGCTTTAGCGTGTATGGCTTTAGCTATATCGCGATAGCCTATGTTATTGATTTCCCATACAAACTTCCATCCACCTTTACACCCCCCTAAAGCATGATTTCTGGGATAAAAACTATTCTATGTCCTTTCCCGGGACTCAAACTATTACAACCAAATTTCCAAACTTACACTTAATCGGTTCAGCGGTTTACACGTCAAGAGATAGACAGACAGACAGACACATTTTGTAAAATGAGTATGGATGTAACTTAAAAGGTAGTCTTCTCATATATCGTGTGTATTAGTAGAACTCATAATATATTATTGAAAATGTGTATTAAACATAAAAGTATTATAACCTTCTAGTGACGTAGGCTTCGCTTAGAGGCAATTAAAAGCCGTAATTTTATCGTGATACATAGTTGCATTCTACGAGCAATAGGTCTATCAAAATAAAATATGTTAGTTGTCATTTCCATTTACGAGAACTTCTTGGTGTACATTGGTTTTTGCTTGCGATTTTTTCGATGTGAATTAAAGATTCGTTTAGATCTCGATCTCGTGAGAATATCAAGGTAAAAAGTAGTTTGTTTTAGTTATGGACGATGTAGCTTTCTGATAGTAAAATAATGAATAAAAACTGTAGTTTCAATGTTTATTAATTATTATTGACTGCCTCTGTGGTACAGTGGTAGCGTATGCTACTGCTGTGCTGAGGGTACGAGTTTGATTCCCGGGTCGAAAAAAATGATTGTATGATCTGCAAATAGCTGTTTCGGAGCTTGGGTGTTTTCTATGTATCATCACCATCAATCATAATTTGTATCTATTTACGAACAAAAAAGTATGTAAGTATTCTATCAGTACATCTAGCCTTCATAGTACAAGCTCTGCATAGTTTGAAACTAGATGGCGTTGTGTCATATGTCCGAAATATTTATTATTATTATTATAACTGAACCTCCCTGGTATCGTATAGATCTATGCGAAGCAGCAAAACGGTGTTCTAGGGACATCAACTCATTCTTTTTAAAGAGCGTTTTAATGCCTAAAATAATAAAAATATAATTACAGTTGTGTTTCTATTATATACAAAAATCAAAAATGTGTAGGTAAGTAATAAACTGAATAATGTAGCATTTTTCTTATTTTTAACATTATTGTGTAAGTCGTAACTTCTAAAAGATAAGTCATATTCATCCTTAATTACGAAACTATTTAACCAAAAAAATTTTTAAGTGCAATACTGCCTTTGTTAGTTGCTAATAATTAACTGAAGTTTATTATCATACATCACAAACAAATTTATAATCAACTTCGAATCAGTTCTCTTTCTAATAATAGTTTAGAATAAATATTCGCTCTAGAAAAAAAACTTAGGATCTTTCATTAAACTGACATTCGCAAATTAAATGTACGGATTTTTTGATTTAACATTACAGCACAAACTAATGAAACCTTAACAAATAACTGAAGCTCTTCTTCTGAAGTTCTGTCTCCCTTTGTGGAAGATATCAGGGAACAGTCTTTGATCTAGCTCAATTTGTAAAAAAATCCCAAAAAGTTTGAGAACTTTGTCGCCATTACGTTTTTTTTCTGATAACTAGTATTGGTAAATTGGTAATAATTCATAATTATTTTTGTAGTACCGGCATTAACTCCAAAAAGGTAGATGTGTTCGAGGAGAAGTATAAAACTAAAATGCTAGCAATGGTTAAACTTTTCAGAACAAATTCTCGGTGACTGTTGAAAGGATGACAAACTTTGAAACGATTATGCAAATTTTATTTCATAATTTCAAATTGGATTAGGCAAACTTCAGGACGATATTTAATGTATTACTGACAGCACTGAAAATGATACTAAGTGACACCTGTCCTCTGTCTATTATTTGTATATAAATATGTTAAGTTGTTAGTGTGGTGATGGTTTAAGAATACGGAGAGTCAATACCCCCTAATTATCGTGTCGTAGGAGCCGAAAACTTGGAACAAACCAATCCGTTTGGCCAGCGTGTTATAATAGGCCAAAACGTCCTTTCTAGAGAGAGGCCTATGTCTAGCAGTGGACCATTAAAGGTCGATGGTAATAAATACGTGTAGGCTTTGTACCCTTTTTAAACAAATATGGCGTACTTTAGAATATTTGTGTTTACATGCATAAGACCATTTTAAATCGCCATTTTCAATTTCGCAATTACATTATTGTTACTTAAATGTCATTAATCATAACTCATGAAAGGGTTATTAGTAACGCAATACTTAGTTTAATCCTCTCATAATTCATCTGATCAATAGATATAACCGATTTTATGTCACAACTTTTATTATTTTCCAATCATGATTGATGGGTATTTTATTTACGAGTGTCTCATAAGTAAGACTCATGTCTTTCTTAACAAATAAAAGAAAGAAGGGGCCCCTCGTTTAGTATTGAAATCGGCATAGTAATAGTAAAAAAATCATTTCAAAATACAGTCATGAACTGAAACTTAAGGTACACCCAAACAGTTTGTCTGAAGATCAAATTGTCTGCCGGAAAATATTTTTCTTTTTTGTTATATTATGGACATGTAAGCTTAGTTTATTATCTCTACATCTAAAGATTAGGCCTTGTTGGTCGGTTTATCCTTTTGACAAACATGTTCGTATAAAATACTTAGTTATATTTTCTGAACACTTTTTAAGTTTATTAAATATTTAGACCAATTTCAATAAATCATTTCTTTTTTTCTAAAACTAAATTTGACAAAAGGAATTATCGATATTACGCTTAACGTATTTTTATAGTATGTGCGTTGTCTCAAATTTATTTTTGTTTGCCTTATTTTTAGCGAATATAGGGCAACTTATGATATTTTTTCCATATTACTGATGTTATTGACTAAAGACTATGCAATGCAGATGCAGAATTATCTGAAAGTATATGAAGATGAATGACATACATTTGAATTTAATCTTATTCTAATCGTTTTAAAATAATTTAAAGTTACAAAGTTACACTTCAAATATTAAAGCAGTAATATCAACGATTTTTATTATTGTCACCACCCGTATTCATCCCTCGGGCATAATGAAGCACCATGCTAAATTTTCTTAGAAAATAAAATGTATCAAAACACATCGTCATCCTCATCATCATCAGCCTATCGCAGTCCACTGCTGGACATAGGCCTCTCCCATAGCACGCCAAAAAAAAAACACATATCTACTCATAAAACTATAGAAAGTTAATTAAAAATATAGTCTTATAATATCCAACTATTTTTTATCCGATTTCAAAAGGAAAGAGGTTTTAAGAACAATTTTATGTAAATATTTAACACGTGTGGTGACGGATTAAGAATACAGACTCTCACTCTCACAATAGGGGTCTATTCATCCGTGGGTGCCGTAAGAGGCGACTAAGGGAGCAAACTACGCAGGACAATACCACTGCAGAGAGAATGAAAACTTGACACAAACCCTATACCCGTCTGGCCAGTGTGGTATAGTAGGCCAAAACCTCCTTTATAAGGAAAGGCCTATGTCCAGTAGAGGACTGCTAAAGGCTGTTGATGATTTAACACATGTGATGACTTTGATTATAACCATGATA